TCAAAGGGGGCAGGAGGGTGCAAAAGCCCCCATGGCTCACCAAAAGCCCTGACAGTGAAGTTTCATAGTTTCATATTTTCTAGGGTCGGAAGGGACCTGAGCAGATCATCGAGTCTGACCCCCTGCCGTGGCAGAAAAGAGTACTGGGGTCGAACGACCCCAGCAAGGTGTACATCAAGCCTCCTCTTAAAGACCCCCAGGGTAGGAGCCAGCACCACTTCTCTTGGAAGTTGGTTCCAGATCCTAGCTGCCCTGACCGTGAACTTGCACCTCCTGATGTCTAGCCTAAATCTACTGTCTGCCGCCTTGTGACCATTATTCCTGGTCACTCCTGGTAGTGCTCGGGGAAACAGGGACTCCCCCAGTGCCTGCTGGTCCCCTCTGACTAGTTTGTAACAGGCCACTAGATCCCCCTCAGCCTTCTTTTGTGGAGGCTGAACAGGTTGTGGAGGACGGCCACGGTTGCTGGCAGCCAGAAAAGACAGCAGGGATGGTGCACAGGGTACTGAAAGCCTGGCCAGGCTTGGGGAAGCATTGGGTCAGGTGCCTCTGAGTTGGCGTAGCACCCAGCCAACTAGCAGCCCACCTTGGCTTACAGCACCCGGTGCACCATTCCTGCCACCAGCAAACCCAGCTGCCCTCCTGCCACCTTCCCGCACTGCCCCAGGGGTAAGCCAGCCTGTTCCCAGGAGGCCCCAGGCATCCTACCGGCTGCAGGAGCCTGCTGAAGGCAGAAGCAGTGAGGGACCCGATTCTTTTTTCCAGCGGAGCCTGCCTGCCTCTCCCGCAGCCGGCGGGGTGAGCTGACAGCTGCATCGTTGCAATTGGCAATGTTGCAAACTAAACTACATGGGGATGCAATTTAGTTTGCAATGATGCAAATTCATTTTAAACCCCCAATACTCCTGCACGTGTACAGTGTGACACCATTAAGCTGCACAAAGTGACAGTTTCATCTCATGTACATCATGTGTACAAGCGCCCAGAGTGATGAGATAATCAGGCTGGATTCAGGTGCCTTTACTTATGTAAGTGCAGATGTGCTGAGCAATAACTGGATTCCAGAGATCTGGTCACCAAAAAATGCCAGTATGTTGTTGTAGGACACTGGTTCTCAACATTTTTTAGGCTCGAGGCGCCCCTTGGAAAATACCAGCTCTTAGTTTTCACTCATTTTTGACTATAGAAAAATACTAGGGCAATTCTTCTGCTGCAAAGCATTCAGAAAGCCTGCAAAGCATTCACGGCAGAGTTATTTTGGCACTATGGACTCTTAAAACCTCGGGGTTTATCTTGTGAATTGTATTTGCACACCTAACAGTGCTGACAATGTTTGGCATGCCGTATCCCCCTTGGAAAGATCTCAAGACACCCTGCAGCACCCTCAGAGGGAATCAGTGTTAAAGGTGCTCATTTTGAACTACCTGCACTTGATAACGTTAGCCGTACCGTCTCTTTGCATCTGTAAAATGGGATTAATAAAATAGACTGACTTCCCGGGAGCTTTAGTGATCCTGGAGCTGCTTTAAAAAGGTAAAAAGACTAGATGAGGGCTAGGTATCCAGGTTGTAGCCGTAATGGTCTGGAGGCAAAAGGAAGGAGAACTCGAGGTAGAGGTGATATCGTTCATTAGGCCACCGCTACTTGGTCTCATAAAAGATATCACCTCTACCACGAGTTCTGATTCCTTTAGATAAGGGCTGTGCATTTGGACTGTGGCAAATGCAAGTCACAGGGGAAATTTAGAGCAAATGCAACTATTCTGTCCTGCAGTGAGCAGCATCAGTTTTCATGGCTCCCCCACCCCCCCAAAAAATCCTCATCAAAGCAGCAGGAAGGGCAAAATTTGAGCTCAAGGGAACTGGCACAAAATGTGTAGGCTCCAGCTGCTTGGCGAGAATCCGCCTGGCGATCGGCACAGACATTAAAGCAGGGTAACATGAAAATGCTCAGCCGGATCTGGCTGAAGATTTAAACCTGCAACTCTCACCGCTAGAGAGGGAGCTGTGGGATACGTATCTATGGCCAGCGCTAGCATCGTGCCACTCCCGTGACTTGGCAGGATCTATAAGTTGCGTCTGTAGTGACTTTTGACCAAGCTAAGAAAATAAACAGTCCGATCCCCTGCTTCCCCCCCTCGCACACCGTGCTTCTTTATTTCAGAACCACTGTCCTGCACAGGACTGTGTCTCCAGGAAAAAAAAAAAAGGCAGAAATCAGCATTGCATTTCCCCCAAAGGCTGACAGCTCATTTCCACCCCCACCCCTGCAGCCCCTTCCCTTAAGCTGCCCGTTCTCTGCTTAATCAGGTTAGTGGGTGAGGGTTTTGCCTCCAGTTTTTCATGCACTTTCCAACCTGACGCAAGAAGGGTGCTTTGTCAGTCTGCACAAAGCACAGCAGAGGAAGGGACACAGACATCCCCAGACAGTGAGAGGGAACAGAGCAGGAAGCAAAGGGGGGGGAAGGAAACCAAATGTTGTACTCACCGGGGATTTTTTCTGCAAAGTGCAAGCTCCTTTGGGGGCATCGTCTCCTGCAGAAATGGAAGTGAACAAAGTTTCCTTGGATACGTCTCTCTGAAAAGCGTTCATCTTCCCTCTCGCCTCCATTCACACCATGGTATGTGGTGGTAGTGAGTTGACCGGGAAGTTTTCCAGCCTCGGGGTTTGGAGTTTGATTCAGTTTAAATTAACCCTCATCGAGCACGTTTCTGCAGCGACGGGGATGAAACAACAGCAGAGTCCTAGGAGACTGCGGTGGGGATGGGCTCAGCCAAAATAATGGATTTGAGCTCTCGGCCATTCATGGTGGGGACCTGTTTGCTTGGCACTTCTCCACCTATCGTACCCACATCAGGACTTGGCAGAACCGCATGCCATCCAGATGTGACCTGAATGAAAATCCCACATCTGAGCAACCCGGGAGCCTGTGGCAGCATAAGTTTAGGAGCAAAATTTGCTTCTCAGGCCGACCTCAGTAACAGATCTGCTGTGCAAGAGCCCACAGGCGTTTCTCTCTGCTCCTGAGCTAGCTGGGGGCTGGAGGAAAGTCCCAGGTTGATAGTCAGTGAAAACAAGCTACCTGTGGGTTATATTTCTGTTGCATTATTAGCCTCTCCCCTTCGGGCCCTAGACCTGACTGGCTCCTGCGCCTCCTGAATTATATGGTAATTCCTCTGTCCTGAGCATATATATGTCCCTGATATGCTCCCAGAGGGATCTTGCATGGTCCTGTAGTGCCATTAAAAGCATTGTCACTGGCACAGACCCCAGCACAGAGGCACCCAAGAGCATCCCCCTAGGAGGAAAAAAAATACCTCTCACCAAGTACGCTCTGGGGGCCTCCGCACTGTTCCCCAAGGTGCCACATCCCTCCTGTCCTGCACCATGAACCCTTGATTCCTACACAGCACCTTGCAGACTTCCCCTCCACCTTCTTCCCCCCATCCATCCCCACAAACACACATTCAGTCCCCTGGAAGGGACTTTGAGAGGTTTGCTAATGAACACCAAGAATATCTTTGGTGCACCGCCACCCCAGGCAAAAATACTGCTGAACATGGGATGGTCTTTCTCACCCCTTCTGCCGTTCCCTGGAGAAGCTCCAATCCGCATTTCCATACCCATCGTGCCTCTCAAGAGATCCTGCCCCCACCTTCCTTTAAGGTGGAGACAGCTTTAATTACTAGTGAGAGGGCATCCAGACACTTGTCCAGGAGAAAGGGAAGCCCCACCACAAAGGTAAAACCCCATGCATCCCCTGCTTGTGAAGAACACCTGAAAAGGGGGCTTCAGCATGCTGGCTGTGTCCTCTAGGCTCCCTGGCAAGATGCAGCACAGCTGCGAGGAAAGACCTCTCACCACTTAATGCCTCGGTCAATCCAAACATCTGCATGTGCAGGTCCTAGCCATGAATGGTCACAACTCCATACTGTAGCCTTTTTCCTTCGAGGACCTCAGAGCATTGTGTCGGCAAGTGTTAATGTAGCCTCCGGCAAAGCAGAAGCTGAAGTGCAGAGAAAGGGACTTAGTCTAAGACTGGAGCCAGTGCATCTCAACTCCCAGCACTGGATCACAAGGGCCATTCAAAATATCCTGATCTGGAGCTCAACCACTTCAGTGGGCATTGAGTCAGGCTCTAGATGCGTTGTTGTTTTAATGGATCAAATATTTTTAGACAATGTTCTGATAAAAACCTGCTTGTTCTGTCCATGCACAGGTTAGCTGGAAATGCCAGCAGACAAGTTGTTAAAGCAGCATGATATAAATAGGGTGGAAAATTTTTCACAGTCTCTATCACTAAGTCCCCCCATACTGTTAGATTCATAGATCCTAGTGTCGGAAGGGACCTCAGTGGGATGTCTAGTCTGCCCCCCTGCCCCAGCAGGCAAGAAAAGGGTCACCAAACCTGGGATCATGTGATCCCAGCCAGGTGCCTGTCCAGTCTCTTCTTGAAGACCCCTAAGGATGTGGCGAGCACCACCTCCCTTGGAAAAGATGTATAAGATGGCTTCATATTTCTACCACCCGGCACCTATTTATCCTGTACATGTAAATGACTCCATGTTTTACTTAAGTGAAGAGCCCGACTTTGTATGAGTAAGAAAACACTCAGTCAGTGGGATTAGCCCACAATTTATAAATCTGAATAAATCTGAAAGTAGCTCAGGGGTGGGCAAAATAAGGCCTGGGGGCCAGATCTGGCCTGCCAGGCCATTCTATCCAGCTCATGGAGCCCCTAACAAATTTAGAAAATTAATATTTATTTGCTCCTGGCTGCCTGTCAAAGATGACAGGAGCCAGGGGCAGTAGTACCCAGGGGAAGCTGGTGGCAGGACCCAGCAGCAAGACCCACCCAGCCCTGCCCCCACCAACCAGAAGCACCTGCCTAGCAGAGGCTTCTGGCCTAGGACTATGTGGCTGTTTCTGCTTCCCTGTGCCAGAGAGAGAAATGTGGCCCTCGATAGCTTGCCAAAACTCAGTAAGTGGCCTCCACCCGAAACAACTGCCCACCCCGACCTAGCTAAAACCCCACAAATGCAGATGGATGCAAAATAAGACCTGAAAGGAGGTCCAGAAAGAGACTGATGTGTCTGCTTCAGGTTAAAAATCAAAATGGAAATGGACAAAAAAAAAAAAAGATGGGGGCAAAGTCAGATGGCTGTAGAGAAGTATAAACAAACAGCTCAAGCACGCAGGGTCTGAATCAGAAAGGCTGAGGCACAGAATGTATTCCAGGTAGCAATGGATGTAAGTTAGTAAGAACAGGTTCTATAAATGCAGTGGATGTAGGAGAAAGATGAGGGAAAGCAGAGGTCCATTACCTAACCAGGAACATGAGGGAAAATAGATGACTCAGAGAAGGCTGAATTGTTTGATGCCTTCCTTAAAGAGGCAAATTAACACACGGGCCCAGGGGCCCCCTGGAAAAAATTCAGAGAGGAGTCTTACTGTGTGTGCCTGGGATGAGCTGGGCAGTGGCCAGTTCACCTGCTAACCAACCCAGCCACAGTCCCAGAGCCGTGGAGTGTGAGCTGAGGCCCGGCATGCAATTGAGCCACATGTTGCAGACAGAATCGCAGCTGGGTATTGCCTGGGGTGGGGAGCTGGGAGCAGCTGCTGGGGCTTGGCTTCCCAAGGCAACTGGGAGATATGAAGCAGCTCCCATAGCTGACAAAGAGACTCTTATCCCAGGAGCAATTAAGCCAGGAGGATGGAAAGGTGGGGGGGGGGAGGGGGAGACTGTGTGGTGCCGTGGCTGGGGACCAGCCCCTCTTAGTGGAGCTGTTGGACCTTGGAGCTGGGGAGTGGCTGAACCCAGGGAGCAGGTGGACCAGAAGCCTTCAGCAAGGAGGGAAGAGCGATGCTGGGCCAGTGCCTCAGTGACCTAAGTCACTCCCTGCCCAGGACAACCTGTGCAGTAGCATCTGCCTGGCTTCTTCCTGCTCTCCCCCCACCACTCCTACCTCTCTCTGCTCAAGCCAGGATTCCCCTACCCCTCTGCCATACACAGACACCTCTCAGCACTAGCTAGCAGACCACATGCTGGCTACAGTCTGTGTTGTGGGAGACAGGACAAGGCAGACAGGACAGTGTTAGCTTAGGGCTTTTTGGAGCTAATCAACAGGTAGCTGGTAATATCCTTCCATTCTTTCCTTGGAAAAGTTGTTTAAGAAGAGCTTGAACTAATAAGAGAGGCTTTTGTTCTGTTTTGATGGGCTGATAAATGCTAACAACTCCCTGGGTAACTCTTTGCTATGTAACTAAATGTTCTGTTATCAGCTCCCTGCTGGCTCCCTCGCTGGTCAGGAGGGGGGGAACCCCTCCCTAATCAGAGCATCCTGCTGGGGCCTGGACACGTACCCCCTCAGCTCAGCACTGGAAGAGAAGGGAGAGCTGCTCTTGTGCCCCCTGGCTTCTAGCCTGAGCCACTGCAGGCATATACCTGCATTTCTTCCATAGGGCAGCACAAAGATTCAGTAGCCAATTCGATTTGGAGGAGATTAGGCCTAATTTGGTGGCCAAATCGAATCAAGAGATCCATTAAAAGCTCCGAATCCAGTCAGAAGGCTCTAAATTGATTTGGTAAAGACTCGGTGCTGATTTGGAGATTCAGCCATAGATTAAACAGGCAGCAGTCCTTGTCCACACTGGACACAGCTGCCTCCAGCTGGTAAGTCTGTTGTGGTGGGTGAAGTGGGGAAGGAAGGGGTGGGGGTGGGGGGGGTCAGATCAATGCCCCCACAGCAAGGGAGGGATTGGGGCTGGGACAA